TCTCCTGAAACCATGGTAACCATGACAACAACCCCGTTTTGTTTATCATGTAAAACATACCACACTGCAGGGCTGTCCCACTCCACGACCTCACTCTCTGTACTGGTCTGACTGGTTCACCCTCTGTGCCTGCAGGTGGAAGGACAGCATGTACCACGCGTTGGGTTACAGCAGCATCCTGGTGATGCAGGCGGCGATGACCTTTGAACACAGAGACATCCAGACTGCCATGGCAACCATCAAGGAGGCGTTAAACACCTGTCAGAGGTGAGAGAGGAGACTGTGTCAGCAGGATTTTACAATCCTCGTTTGTTTGTCATCTTCCACGCTGCTCTACAATAACATGTTTTATTTAAAAACATCAAATGGTCGTTTGCACAGATTTTAAAATGAGAGTAAAATGTAAACAATAACTGACTGTGACAAACGTCTGCAGGTTCAGGAAGAAGAACTCTGTGGTCGGCTCTCTGTCCAGTCTGATCAGCAAGCAGTCCAACCTGCAGGAAGGTACCTACACATGTTCCGCCCACACACTTTGATTGACAACTGAAGCCTGCAGCTCAGAAAACATCAAAGTCAAACAAAAAGCAGGCTGACTCACTGTGTGTGTGTTTGTGTGTGTCTGTGTATGTGTGTGTGTTTGCAGTGGAGATGCACGCAGAGATCTGCTACGCTGAGTGTCTGCTGCAGAAAGCCACGCTGACGTTCGTTCAGGTCAGATCCTCCGTCCGTCCGTCTCTTTATAACAATGTTTTCTGTAACCATTATTGAATAATAACTAAAGATCAGAATCATAAAGATCCTCAACATGTGAGCAGCCGATGCACATTTAGACACTTCTCTGTGCCCTGGATAGATTCTTTAAAATAACCCTGGTGATATCACAGTGACATCATAATCTGAACAGCCGTCCTCATGACTAGATTGGATTTTATTAGAAAAACATTGCATGCAGTTCTCAGTGAGGCCACTAGATGGTGCTCATGGTAAACAGAGTGTATCAGTAATAAGAGGAAACAGGACTTTTATATGTGTTTAAATAAGAAGGTAAAACACTGAACATGTTTGATTTATCTGGACTTTCAGAAATAAAGAAATAAATATATAATTTAAAATAGTTTCCCCTGAGCAGGAAGGTTAGTGTGAGATGTTAAACTGAGTATATTCTGCTTGTATTCAATATCTAGAAAATAATCTGTCTTTGTCTCTTCAGGATGAGAACATGATCAGCTTCATCAAAGGGGGCATCAAGATCCGAACAAGCTACCAAATCTACAAGTAAGTGACAGTTTGTATTTTTTTATTCAGTTTCAGTTTCGTTCTGACTGTGACATCATGTTTCATCAATCAGGGAATGTCAGAACGTGCTGAATGCATCTCAGGACCTGGCGGGCCAGTCTGATGCGTTCAGACAGTTTGAGGGCGGAGTCAAGCTGGGCATCGGCTCCTTTAACCTGGTGAGTTCTTATAGCTGGTCACTGGTTGGTGTCATGTTGTTTAAATATTCAGTATAAAGCATTAATGCACTAAAATCACAAAAAAGACGTATGGGACATTTTGTGTTGCGTAGTGGAGTTACATTTATCCTAAATGTTCTTAAGAGTCTTAAAACCTGTGATTTGACTCAAGCTAGCAGGTTTGTTAAATCACCTTATCTTACAGTGGACTGAAAGAACCTGAGATGAAGTTTGAGATTTATGAAGGAAGTCTGCAGACTGCTCACTTTAGCTAACGTTACGTTCAGCTAGTTAATCAAAATGGGATGAAGAACCTGAATCAGATAGATTTTCATTGACCAAAAGGGTTGTCAATATTTTTGCTACTTTAAGTTCATCAAAGTTTCTTAAAATCATCTGAACTTTACTTCCACAGAAACAAGTTCAAAATTAGTTTGGTGTTAAATTTGATCCCCCGCCCAAAGGTTTGGGTTATGGGTTGAGTTATAACATCTTACAAAAAGTGACTCACACAGTCTTGGCATGTCATGGGTTAAAGAATAAGTCAATATTTAATCAATTAGCAAGTTAAAGTCAAAATAATCATCACAAGAACACTCCTTATATGAAATGTTTTAGCCACGAATAGGAGTATGTCATCAGCATATCGGCGGATCATCAATATAAAAAGAGTCAAAATGTCGACTTCTTAAATGTTTTTTGTTTAAATTCTTAACTGTCTCTGGCTTTCAGATGTTGTCGCTCCTCCCTCAGAGGATTCTCAGGTTGTTGGAGTTCATCGGATTCTCAGGGAACAGGGTCAGTACATCACCTTTAAAGTGACACCGCCAAGTCTGTCTGTTGAGTGTAAAACATGTAAATATGAACTTTAAAGGACTTTCACACAGGTGTCATGCTTCATTTTGTTCATGAATTAATACCTGTGTGTGTCTGTGCAGGGCTTCGGTTTGTCTCAGCTGAGGGAGGGAGCGTCCAGTCACAGCCTGAGAGCGATCCTCAGCGCTCTGACTCTGCTCTTCTACCACACATACGTGTCGCTCATA